CCCAAGACATCTACCTGTGCGTAGCGACATATCCCATTCAATACCCCAAAGAAAGAGACAGAGCAAGAGAGCGAGCTTTCCTTTCTAAAGCCAAGGGGAGAACTGTCTGAATCCATTAAGGATGAAAGGAAGACAGTTAGCAGGAAAAAGAAATCTCAAAGGTATTTCTAAAAAGGGTTGAGGTATCTTTAAGGCACTGGAGAAGGTTATTTCCTTGGCAGACCATTTAAGTATTTTTATTTTTTTCTTGGCTGCTCTAAACAGGGCACAGCTTTCTCTGTTCTTCAGCCCACCACACTACAAGGGAGATGCTGTATTTTGGGGATGAAGCGAAACCTCACCTTGTGATCATGACCGAAGCCTCATCAGTACCCGGCCTTTAGCAGAAGGTGAGATCACGTCCACGTCTATGCCTCGCTTTGTCTGTTCCACACCTTCCTCCTGCCTGGCAGCTCATAAAACCAATGTGACACTTAGGATGCAGCTGAAAAGAGAACAGCGATTCTGCAGACTGCCCGCTTTCTTGCTGACTCAGCCAACTGGGTGCTCAGCTAATTTCTGCAGTGCTACAGAAGCTTCCTCGCAGTGGAGGCGAGGAAATACTTTTAATTGATTAGAGCCTCCCAGAAAGCCAAAGCTAATTTGTCAGTTCTCAGATGAGCTGTTCTAAAAATCGTGTTTGCTGGTTGTAGAGATAAATTTGAGTTAGGCTGTGACGGCCCTCCATCACTCCTCTTCAGGCTGCATCAGTCACAGATAATTTTTTTGGGGAAGAACAACTCCATCCTCTGCATGAGTGTGCTGCAGTTGTGAGTGGAGCCAAATGGCACTGATTTAAAAGGAAAGCAGAGCTGAAAGGGTCAGTGACTTCTGGTTTGGAAAATCTGGAGTCCAGTTTCAAGGCATGAGACAAAGTTAAAAACCAAAATAGATTGACTTTAAAGGGGAAAAAAACGAACATCATGAGAGAAAACTTTACTCTGACTTATCACATGGTATATTCTAATTTGGTGAAGAATAACTTTATTTGATATTAAGCTTATGGCTTAACTTTAGAGTACACTGACAGGTAAGGCCAGACAAAAAGAAAACTATGGACCTTTAGCGGAAAGACTGGCTGCTGCAGGCTGGAAGGGAAACCTGACGGCAGTGACATTTGGCTATACAAAACTAGGAACGTGAACTGGACCACACAGCATAATTAGAGTACGCAAAGAATAGAGATAAAACTTAAAATCTTAAGAGGATGTGATGTTGAAGGCTGCAAAGGTGTAAAAACTGAAGAAATACATAAAAATGAAAGTTTTAGACAGATACTTTTTCTTTGTTTAATGAAAACTTGAATGAATAAGTGATTCAGCTTCTTTCACATGATAAAGACAAGGTGGGAAAGCAGGTTAACTATCTAGAAGAACAAATGAAAATTACTTTATGTATTTTTTAAAAATACCCCCAAAATATAGGTAAAACATCTTTTTTTCATGTGCAAATGTGTTCTCAGGTTTTTTTTTTGTTTTAATTAATGTCTTCCAATGTGCAGCAGGGAGCCCAATGATCAGAATAGGCTTCAACAATGTCTATAGAAGGAATCTGGATCTTTTAGAAAATACTGAGAAGTTAGTATAAAACCAACCAAACAATGGTTACACCACAAAAATATTTAAATAATAATAAAAATAAAAGACGTTTACCCAGAATCCACTTTCAAGAAAATTTTCTTATTTTAAAAATTATTTTACCCTTCCCAAGTGCAACATGCACGTGCATGACAACAGAGTGCACAATATCTGAGAATAGACAAAGAAAAGGGATTGTGGATTTTCTGCAGATTTTAATACACTTTCGATTAGGCCCTTTAACAGTAACTATGTTATGTGACGTGGGCATTTGCCTATGGAACCTCAGGCTGGGTCAAGTAATTGTATCTGGGAAATTCTGTTTCTTCCCAGGTCTTTTGTGGTCACATTTTTGGAAGATCAATTTTGACAGTACTCATTTAAATGTTTCCTTACTTCATAGTAAGGGATGAAAATGGCCACCAGAAATCTCAGGAGTAATATATGAATTCAATCATAGTGAGAAATATGAATTAGACCCTTTCTGCTATGTACTTCCAGGGAGGTAATCTTGCCAACACTGAGGAATACATTTTATGTCTTTCTCAGTACATTCCACAGTCTTGCACTTTATCTCTAGATTTTTAAAGATGATAAAGCCATAAGCAGTGTGACTATACTTAGAAAAAAAAAATCTAAGATGATCTATTCCCATAACCCTAGGACCCATGATTTTGAGAACAGCATCAAATATCACAAATCTTGTGGTGAAGTAGAAGAGATGTCAACACCCAGTGACAGATAGCAATGTACTGTGCGGCCATACATTATGTTCCATGTACTCACTACCTTTCTTTTGCTAGAAATAAGCGTGTGGAGAACATATTTAACCATCATTTCCCAACAATACTGACTGGCAGCAGCTGCCTTATGACAAGCAGTCATCTTCCCACACTGCTCTATTCAAGGGATTTCCCAAACTATTTTACCTATGAATCAGTTTCACAGGGTCTGGAAAATAGGCGTAATGAAATAGCAACAGTGGCTGAAGTGAAAAAGAAGCCATGTGTACAAAATATGCTAGTGACATACCAGTTACATCTGACATTAGTCCCCTGTGATGTGTACTCATTACTTTCTTACAGATAACAATTTCCCTCATCATAAATACTGTCCTTTTAGTAATACAGTATGGCATCATGAACTCTCTCATCCTTTATGAAGCAGTACATTTTCATATGATTCATATGCACGCATTTCTTACTATGACAATTGGCATCAAGACAAAGGCAGACAAAAAAATATATTATGAAGCAGGAGAAGAACCACCTCTTTGCCTGGTTTCATTAATAAGCAATACACAGCTGCATTACTCATGTCTCAAAATAACACATTCGCCAAATACAACTCAGTGTGGATTGAAAAAGTCTTTACCTCGTGGTGAAACAGCAAACTGGACCTTCACCTATTCTAAAAGCATGCCTATTGCATATATTGCCTCAAGACTCAACAGATTCAACAGACAGAATAACAAAAGATATCCCTCCATCTTGCATTTCAGATCTAGTTCTTCACATGTTAGGTTTGGATCTCCGAGAGAACTTCAAGCTCTATTTTATACTCAATAAATCCAACTAATGCCGATATCCCCTAAAAAGTATAATTTCAATTTGCTGGGGGACTGAATGTAGCCCTTGCGTTACAACTACTACAAACAGTCTAAACCCAGCAAAAAGGCAGAAAGGAGGAGCCTGTCAAGATGGATCTTGTAGAGCAAGTAAGAAGTTTGGACAGGAGGGATGCAGGAAGAACAGGGCATTGCCCCAGCTCCATGTGCCCAAAGCTTTATCTAACTGAAGGAGAAATTATAAAGTTTCATATTCTTTCTTTACTGTACAATCAGTTACCTAAATCAGAAAATGTACAGGCAGCAAGGTGTAAAACCCCTGTAAGACTTTGTCAGTAACCTCATACCTTCCCTAAACTGGAACACCGAAAGTGGGAAACAAAGTTAGACCATCTCTAATATTGCTACACTGATCCATCTTTAGGTCACTGGCTGGCAAAGTTCAAATTACAGAATAACAAGTACTTTGAATTCACATCTCTCACCCTTTTTAAAAACTTCTCCTGATAATATCAACATTAACTGCTATAAACATTACTACTGTGGCATTAAAATTCTATCTATAAACACTTCTCTTTCAATACTGTACTCATGGTATTCAAACAGGAATCAGCTACTCTCTCTTTTAATGTAATACTCTTCTATTACAGACCAATGTGGCATACCAACCCTTTCACAAATGTGTCAGAAAGAAAGTAAATATTTTCACTCCCATAGCTCCTCCCAGGGAGCTGTTTCAGGCCCTCATTCTCCACACTGGCAAAGGGAACAAATCACCTCTTTTCACTTTGTTTCATAACAGACAGGCTCATCAATTTACTTGATTCTATTAACAGCCCTGCCCGGTAAATTTTCCCAGTTTCTGTTCCTGTTAGTAAACATGTGTATTAAGAATTGCACTCAGTCTTCCAGATAAGGTCTTACAAGTGTCTTGTATATAACATTGTTAATTCCTTATTTCTAGAGGCAACGCCAGAGGATGCTTCTTTAGAGTGTATTTGCCTTTTTTATAGATGCATTAGATGGGTGGTTTGTAATAATCCTGTGATTACCCAGTAAAGCCTCATTTTGACACCCTCCGTCAGCAATTATTACTACTGGTTATTGACGACACTCTGCACTACCACATTTCATCCCATTTCTGTTTTTCCTGTCTTCATAATCCCTAGATTTTTTCTGTTTGACATTCTGAGCCTACATGATCATGCTAATGACCGGCCACCTTCATGTTATTGGTACAGTTCTATGTTTGTGGTCAGTGTCGTTATTGACAGCATTAGAAAATGAATCTGTAAGGATCTGTAAATCTCTTTCACTCCAGTTTCTTGCCTTTGCTGCTGTATTCCCACATTCTTCCAGAAAACTGATGTAAAGCAATTACTTATAACTTCATGAATAATAGTGTATCTTGCATGTGCAGAAGTAATTTATATGGAGTAGTGCAAAAGGCGCATATTTTTTCAGACTGCCACAGACCCCTGGGTCAATAGGAAAGATTAAGTATCTTCAGCTGCTTACAAAGGGTGCAACTCAAATATAAATGCTTTCATATTAGAAACAAATCCAAATCAAACAAATAACTGCTGGAAATTATGCAACCATTTGCTAAATAAAGCCATACCCATCCAGCTATACTGGCAACATGCAGGCAAATTTTAGGCAGTTATCAAAATTCTTTCCATCAAAATACTCAGTTTAAATATTCATTATTGTCTTGGAAGTTTTATATTTCATCCTACAATGATATACCAACATCCACATAAAAAAATATCACAAGGAGAGGACTCCTATCAAACTTTCAATATCCTCCTACTAACCTTAGGTGGTTTAAAAGGATAGTCCGGTGAAAAGGTAATGTCAAGGAAGAAAACTCCACCTTCATATACAGACCCTGGAGGCCCCAGTATAGTTGACCTCCATTCATAAATGTTGTCTCCTTTGGGTCCAGCACTAAAATAGAAAACAAAAGTATAACATAATAACCACATACAATCAAGAATATACTGCATCAGTTATACTCTACTAGTAGTACCGCTGGTTTTGCAATAACACTACAAGTTAAAATTGTGTATCACATTCATTAAATTAGTCCTGGATAAAACACGCAACTGGTGTCCTAAGCTCTGTCAGTGAAGTGATACAGTCAGCCAGGAAGAAGTATTAAACTCACATTATAGATTATTCAAATAAGCACGGAAAAATTCCTGACTGCCTTATCTCAAATATTTTAGTGGGCAGATATGAAGTATTTACAGTGCAAGGATACAAAGACTGCTGAGATGTCTTGTCACTGGCTTGCCTCATAAGCCATCCTATTTTCACCTACCTCCTCATCCACCTACCTCCTCAGTCAGTAGCACTTTAATTACACACATTATGATACAGCACAGACTGTACTGACGACTGAGCAGGGTACAAACGACCTTGCAGCTGCGCTTTCCAAGTTACTAACCTAAGGTGTCCAGTCACTAGTACAGAAGGCTGCTTTACTTGGCAATTGTTGTTGCAATTATAAACAGGAAGAGGGTTAAACTGTTGGATTATGTTAGTTCAAAGTCCTTGTTCAAAAACACAGTACTGGAACAATACTTAAAATGTATGAAACATAATTCTGTATGTGAAACAAGAAAAAAATCTCTCACCCGCATGGTCAATTCCTGACAAAATCGAATTAAAAACTAATAAAAGTTCCGGACATGACTCTTCCAAAAGCCAACACAGCCTCCTTTCATACAGTATAATGCTTGTCTATAGACATACATATTTTGCTCAGGGTGGCCTCTTAAATAACATAAAGATTTCTATTTGGTTCACAGCCTGCTGATACCAGTCACTGATACAGGACCTGAATTTTAATCAGGATCAAATGGGATGGTGACTTCTAGATATCTGATTAATATTTTTCAGAGGAAGGCAGTGCTGGAAGATATTTGAAATAAGTGACGTGGTATTGTCTTAACACATTTCTTGTGAAACTATTCTTGTTATGTTTGCAATAAAGACTTCCACAGCATGCAGGGGTTTGTGAAATAACTCTGTGTATAGAACAGATGAAAGCTCTTGGCTATGCTCCATGCCTCACAATGTACCCAAGGCATACAATTATTATACAACATCATGTCATGTTCACTGCTCAACTATTCATTTTGTTCACTGAAAGTTAATAAAACCCTCTTTCACCTGAAATTCCTTGGGCTCCCTTCATTAAAACTTCTGACTGCATGATTCCCTGCATACAACTGCGTGACTTAGTACTGCGCAGTGTACTTCATTAGTCATGGTACCTACATCAATTTTCTATAATAGCTGTTAATGCTTCTTGGCTTTCTAAACTACAAGCTTTCTTAACAAAACGGGTTACAGAGACTATAACATTATGGAACGTTCATTTTCCATCAGCCATAGTAACGAAACTAGCAATTGTTTTAAAGATAAAATCTGGCTTTTCAAGTGTCACAATAGCAGAAGTGTTGCCATCCATATTTCACAGTGTCTATAATACATCAGGTTTCTAGCTGCCAAACAAATTTAATTTACCCAGTTCTCAGTTTGCATTAACCTTTGAATAATAAAGCACAGCTGAGACTGCTGTAAGAAACAAACCAGAGAATGAATAATTAAAAACATCTCCACTGCCTTTAGAAAGACCAATCCTGAGTCAACAGGGAAGGTTTAATTGTGACTGAACTAGGCATTAAGGGGCTAATTGAACTCTTTATAAGCCCAAACGAATGTGGTCCTACGTCAGTGCTATGGTATACAAGGTTCACAGAAAGCAAAACCCTTTAAAAAAACAGTCAGGCAATTAGTTCAAATAGAAAAGGCAAGAAGTAGGGGCACTCTAATTCTTACACACAAAAAAGCCCGTAACAGATGAAGGAAATCCTTCCCCATTTTCTGCAGAAAAACATTCTGATACTTGGAGAAGCAATGACGCAGTTGATGCCAGCAGGTTAAAATGGAAGTGATATAAATGTCGATCCCCGAGAAATGGTCTGAAACAGAAAACAGCAAAAGCAAGCCCTGTCTTTTTTAGACCCTATTTAGCCAGTAAGGGATGGTCGGGCCCTTTTTGGGTTTGAGTGAGGCTCACTTTTTTCATCAGAACTCTCTTTGATAGTGGCATTTTCATAACGTATATTATTTTTATTTGTTTTGCCTATTTATTTAACTGCATTAACATTTGAAATGAGCAGTCATTAATTAGAATAGTTGGAAAATGCTCCATCTGCCAGTTGAACTGTTTCGGCACGTCCAGCTACAAACCCAGGCTGATCACATTCTGAGGATGCTGATTAACATTAATTGAAGGCTTTCTTTGCAAATGAGAGATGAAGCTTTATTAAGTATTATTATTAATTTGAAGAATAACTTGAATTGTATGGAGTGTGGAAAGACTGCTGTTATCAATGTTGCCTGTTTGAGTGCTTGCTGGCAGCAAGGCTCTTCAGCTGATGTAAAACACTGATCCATGTGCACAGGCAACAGCTGGTATTAAGGGCAACAGCATGTACAAGCATCACATTTTTTCTCTTGCACATTAACAACACAAAAAGTTTGACAGGTGTATTATCTTTGTTTTCCTTCTTTCCTAATTGTTAAGCCTTTTATTTATCGACATTATTGGCAACAAGAACGACGACTCATCAGGCTTCACCAGAGAAAATTCCCATATGTGCACGACCTCAGCCAGAGCCTTATTCTATAAGGTTTATAATGCAAGAGGATTTAATTGCCCTTCTCTCTACATGGATATCTGCCCAGCACACTGAAGCCCAAATGTTTTACATTCAGTATGATTTATATTCCAGCTCTATTAATGTTACTGGCAACAAGAACACAGATCTCAAAGAAAGCAAACCAAACATCTCAGTGCCTGAAGTTCTATTATCTTTGGAAGGACAGATTCTGATGTGCACCCGCTCGGCAAAGGGCAGACTAAATCTGTCTTGAACTCAACTGACCCAGGGCCAGAGCATATGCACGCTGCCTGCTACTAACCTGCTGCTAAATCAGTCAGCCTCAGGGGACGAATAACGGTGGCTGTGGCAGCTCCTGGTGGAAGTGGCTGAACGATAAGGATAAGGTGGTCAGCAGAAGGACAGCTCTGCCGTCAGACCAGCGGCACAGCCTCCCAGTTTGAGCCCTGATGCTGAAACCCTAGCGAACCTGCAGGAGGCATCGAGGAGCCCAGTGAGAAGCACACGGTGTAACTCTGGAGCTGGCACTCCCCACATTGCCAGTGTTATCTCCCAGGTGGGATTTGTAACATAGGACCGAGGAGACGCAGCTGAACATGAAGGCTTGCTCATGCTGTCATTAGTCCCCTAAAGCTGATGAGACACTGCACAGAATATTGCCTGGTTGACCTGCTGGGGAGGCTTTGTTGACTGGAAGACCCTGGGGTGGGTGGACATGGAGCCAGCCTTCTTCCTCTTCCAGAATGACATCAGCATGGGTGTACGAAATTCAGGACAAAGGAGTTCAAACACATAAAATGGTCTCCTTTGTACTTCACTCGCCTTTGCCTCTCCTTACATATTTTAGTTCTGCCACTGCTTCCCACATGCATACTTACTTCAGGTGAAATGTATGCACATCAGTCACAGTTAGTAGCAAAATACTTTAAATGCTACTATAACTGAATTAATTTTGCTTTAAATATGCTTAATGCACCAAGTATTTTCTATTCCCTCAACATGTTTTCGGCAGGCAGTCACTTGAAAGTAGTGCTGCTAAAAAATGCTTGTCCAGTACAATCGATTATAAACATCAAGCTTTCACCGCATTTAGAATATGCTGAAATATTAGATTTAAAATGATGTACTAGCATAGTTGTATGAAAACAACAGCATCTTTGAGAAATACCAGACGAAAATCTATCTGGAGAAGTTAGGAAAGTACAGTTGATTTTTAGTTTTATCAGAGCTGTGATTTGTATACAAATTTACTCAATTTCCAGAGAATAACCCAAAAAAGTAAAAATACAGAAATTCAAAGAAACAACAGTCCCACATTTATCAAGTAGTCATATGGAATAAATTAGTCAAAATAATATTATTATTTTCTAATCTAATATGTTTCTTGATGAGGGATCCCCTGCTTCCCCAGCACCTATAATGGAGGTAGCATAACCTTATACTGTAGAAAATAAGGACTAGTTCAATGTCTTCCCTTCCATTCTTGGTTTCTGCATCTTGCTGGTATCCACATCTAAAGTGTAACTATACTCTCTAACACAAGGGAAAGGCAAGCCTATAGCAGAAAACAAAGAAGAAAGGAATTGTAATTTAAATTGCCTTCTAGTTCTGACACACTAACGGTGTGTGGGGGGAAGTGATCAGGCCAAATAAAACAGGAAAGTGAGATGGCTGGGAGGCCTTCCCATTCCTCAGGACTCAGAAAGAAATGGAAAGATTCTTCAGGACCGGGTGAGTTTAAGTTCATTTTTATCCTCATCCCTTATGGGAGGTCAGAATAAAGGAGGACCATGGTATTACACAAACTTTGTCCACGAACTCACTTTCCATGGCATTGTCTATGGCAATTCATTCTTGTTACCGCATTAGCTAATCTGAATTGCCTTCGCACACAGTAACACGCAACGGAACTCCACTAGGTGCAGTCCATGGAGGATGCAGATCCTCTCAACTATCTTCAGTAACATAAGACAACAGAAAGAGTGATACACCCAAATCTCTTCTTCTTCCTTTCCTTTTATTACACAGAGCTTTGTCTTTACTGTTTAAGAGATTTTCCTCTGAGGAGAGAAGCTCACCACAATGAAGCTCTTGCAATCCTGTTTCTTGCACATTTAACCGTTACACTGGACCAGATTTGGCCTCTAGCTGCCCTCTGTGAATGCTTCTGGGAAGTCAGTTGCCCAGAGGGCAAAGTGGGTACAAAAATATTGGGAGATTGGCAAAATAATGTAAGAGCACAGCTGGTGA